GTGTGATTTTAATTTTCAATAAACTTTTGCATCTTGGTTTATCTTGCAGTTTTTTTTGTTTCTGTCTCTCTTCTTTTTTAAATAGTAAAATATTCTCACGTAAGTGTTTGAAGTACCACATATAGGTCTAAAGAACAAGAATAATAATAACAGTTACTTTGGTCTTATCTACATTTCTTGTATCAGTATTTGGTGTTTTGTATTGATGATATTCTCTATCAGGGTCATCTATTCTAAAAATTAATTGTGATGCCTAAACTAATTTTAAAAAAACTTTAGCTGTATGAATGTTTAATTTTGTCAGAGGAAACCAGGCACCATAGTATTATTGATGCATCTAACAAGCCGCAAGTTGTATTTTAATTTGCCAAATTTACTAAAATAAATTTTAATTATTAAATCTAAATGTTTTAAAAGCTTGGATTCTATGACATAGATATTAGCAAATATTTGGCTTAAAAAATCTATATTGGACCCTATTGTCCAATATTTTAAAATTATAATATGTGTGAACTTTGAGTAATTGCTTTGAAAAGCTTCAGAAGTTTTCTAAATAAAAATAATTGATTTAGCCATTTAGATTAATACTTAAGGAAAAACATCTTTATGTTTGAGAAAAAAGTATATTAGTAAAATCAGATGATCTTGTCATATTTGAAGTATATTCAATTAGTCTAATAACTTTGGTTCACAAAGCTCCTAAAGGATTATTGGTGAGTATATTAAACTTTTTAATATTTGTTGTTAAATTCGGGAGATTTTAAAATTTTCTTTCCACCTATTTTATGTAAGTTTTTGATGTGTTTGTAGTAATTTTTATAAAAATGCACATATTCGAAATGATGGAAAATATTTTTAAATTACAGTTGACCAATCTAGAGAGTAAAAGCTGAACTGTCTTTAGAAGCAGGATTACTCAGAGAAGAAGATCATAGGCAAGCTGGATATAATTGACAGGAGCCACAATTATTTTCTGATGCCTCATGTCTTCCTTTTTTTTTTAAAATACGTTTTTCATACCAGGAGTATTCTGTTCTACCACTAATATCTTTTCTTCTCTCAAATTCTGCACTCCAGAAGTCATTTGGCAAAATATATTTAGCCTGAGGTTTCACCTCAGGCTAAATATATTCTTGTAGATACTTGCTTTTTAATTGGCAATGGAAAATTTAAGCCAAAGGAAGGAATCTAATAGAATTCTAGTTATCTCCTGAAAGATGGATAGCATAATGTGTGTCTTCACAAGAATTTTGATATTCTACTAGTCATTAGATTTGTAATTAGGAAATATGATTTTAAATCCTAGATGACCTCAAACTACTTCTAGTTTGAAAATCCTGATTCTTCTTAGGAAGGTACATAAAAGCTTATGTTGTTAGAGTTAAGTACCAGGACTTTGTTTTACCAAGTTCTCTCCTCCAAACTAGCAATACATGAAACATGCTTTTTAAAATCTCTGTTACATTGAATTCTTAGAAAAATCTAGTAAACCTAGAGAAAACAAGCTGAGATGTGTATCTTCTTGCAGAGGCATGGGTCCTCACCTTTTGTTTGGTTGAAGGAGGGATCTTGGTTGGGATTGGGGAGAGCAGGTAAGAAAACCGGAATAGCACAAGTTCTGTTATTTCTGTGAACACATTTTTATTTTCTTCAGTTTTTCCAGAAACCTCTGGGAATTTTTACTCAAGAACTGTGCCATTATATTTGTAATGGAAAAAAGTATGGTTGCTCTTCAAGGCCTTCAAAGTGATGATGAGTTTATTCAGCCTCACTCCCTTTTCTTTAGTGTGTAGAGTTTATCAGAATGTTCCTTCTATTTCAGTCATTGTGAACTTAATAATAAACAGATGCCTTTCTGTCCCTCTCTGTGACTTTAAAACTCACATCTACATTAAAAGGGATGCATTCGGGATTTCTGACCTTTCTAGACTCTTATCTACATTCAGCTGTTCACCTTAATTTATGAATATGTTCAGTTAAGAATCTGAGTCAACTCTGACCACTTCCTCCTATTATTGCTTACATTGGTACTTTCCATCACTGTACCAAACACCAGAGTGTTAGACATTTGGGGCTAGAAGGGACAAGCGAAAGAAACCCATGTTTCTCAAGCTCCTACAAATCACTGGACAATGTCCAGGACTACTACATTATCTCATTTAATCTTCATAGAAACTCTTCCAGAGTGAGTATAATCCCTATTCTACAGATTAAGAAAATGAGACAGAAGTCTTGCATAATATCCAGCATCACTTCGTTTGTGTCAGATCCAGAAGGTGACCCAGATGTTTTCTTGACATTGTAATCCATTTTCCTTCTTTGTTCTTCCATGGTTTCTGACCTATCTTCCTCAAATTAAGTGATTTATGATGAAATATAATAAATGAACTAATAAAACAGCCAAAGATAACAGCCACAAGGGAAAGAGAAGGAAGTTGTAATAGGGATTGGAAGAAGACATTTACTATAGCTGAGTGTCTAGGAAAAATACAAAGCTTTTAAGTGTATTTTAATTTTCTTAACTGTGGACATGAATAGTCAAAGTGATGCTTTCCATAAGCTCTTGCTGTATATTTGGTTTGAGGAAGAGACTGGTAGAGGGTTCTTTAGGTTACAGAGGACCAACTGCATCTGGAATATGAGTTATCTCAGATACTTTGTAGTGGGCAAAGATAGTTGAAGAAGAAGCAGCTGGTAGATAATTTACTTGCTACCTTGCCCTATGCTTTTCTACACTTCGATATGGGTGTTCCCACATATATCCAAATGTGCTAATGCTACTGAAAGTCTTCTCCACAGGGATGGAGTGGATTCAAGAGTGCTTAGTAATAGCTGGAGTCACCCCTTTACTGCATGTCTGGCTCCTTCTCGGTCTTCCATGTTTTCCTTACTACTTCAACCATTTCTTGTCCCTGTAATCTAATACCCACCAGTGCATAATATCTAGAAAAACGCTATAGAATGAAAGAAAAAAAAAAACCAACTCTTGTTCTAGACACCTATATGTACACTTAACTCATCTTTTGAACAATGTGTAACTTTGGGCACATTTTTTTTCTTAGAGCCTTATATTTACTCATCTGTATAATGGGAATAATAATTTCCACCTAACCCTACCTGCAGAGAAGAGGTAACCTGCTCCACAAAGATGGTGTAACAGTCTTTCAAAAAAATACATAAAGGAGAACTTGGTGATCTGAAGTGTTTTTACAGTTGGGAGAATTTTTAAATGTAAATACCAATTAATGCAATGTGGATCTATGATTGCGAGTACTTGAGAAGGGCTAAAGAGAAAGGTCAAGCTTTCCTACCTTAAAGGAAGTGATTGTAAAATATAGCTGAATTGTTCATTGTATACTGTCATGCTAATTTATGCAAAATAAATGTCCAGTGCATTGTTGCATTCCTCTCTAGCCTTGACAATAGAGCCTTCCCTGTTTTCATGTAATTATGGAGAATGCAGAGTGGCACCTTCAAAGACTCACATCTACTACTGTGGTACTCAAGTGCTAGAGCCATTTTTGTTATTTTTTTCAAACGTTATGTCATGTATGCTTGGGGCCTGGGTTCATTTACAGAACTTGCAAAATTTAAGTCATGTACACATTTTTTTCCTTCAAATTGTATTTATATATGCAAATAAATATATATGCATATATGTGCAAATAAAATTTGAAGAAAATCTCTCTCCTCTCGTAAAAATATGGCTATAGCAAGAAGAAGGCAAACAGGAGCATAATAACACATTTGATTTGAAGATTATTAAAGGAGAGCTTTTCCCACCATGGATTAGAAGTATACTCAAATCCCAGTTTTCATTCTATGGTCACAAAAACTTACTGTAAATGCTGAATAGTCTGTAAAGTTTTTCTCATCTTCCCTTTTTTCAGTTCTCATCATAGTCCTACAAGTTAGGATGAATCATTATCCTCATTTATCCAGTATTCTATGAGCGTCTCAAAGATGGGAAGCATTTCTGACTAGTTTTCCTAGCTCTAACATCTAACCCATGTCACAAATATGTGTGTGCATAGTTTTCTTGTGAGGAAACAGAGGCCAGGATGTTAAGTGGCTTGTACAGGGAGCTATAGCTTTTTAAATATGTACTAGAAGAAGACTTGAACTTTGACCTTCTGACCTTTATTCTAGAGCACATCACTGGTGTGATATTAAAAATTAAATATCATGAATGAGTTGAGTTGGGACTATAGTCTGTAATATAATACATGATATGACTCACCAAATCTACCAAATGTCCAAATTGAAGAATATACTGAATGGAAAACTATTGGATCGTTGTTTTGCTTTGTTTTTCCATTTCTTCCTGGAGACTTGCAGGAAGTCACTAGAACAGTTATTTGGCCTCCAGGGTTCTCCTGCATGGAAGGGCTGAATCCATTCCAATGGATTCAGTTGTAGACCATGAACATCTTAGCTGAGAAAGCATCTTCCCAAGTAGGGGGTCTCTGCATGACAGCAGGATGTGCTGCCAAAAGCCCTGTTTAATTGACTTTGCAGTTATTCTACGTATCCCAAGTGGCCTAGAAAGCTACAGATGGAATGCCTCAGCGGCACATTGAACTTGGTATCTCCATGTCTTTCATCAGCCTTCAGGTCTCTGTTTGGTTCTTTTCCCTCACTGATTTTCAAACTTATTTGAGTTGAAGGACAAGAGAAGGGAAGAAGATGAAGGAAACAATGGGAAAAGGAGCTGAAATTATTTTCCCTTTCACGAAGGAGATACTTGAGAATTATATTAGACTTTGCACTCTGCACATTCAGGAAAAATATGATTTAATGATAGCTTTGCAATCACTTCCTCTTTATTCAGGTAATATTCTCAAAAGGGAACACAATTAACTTCTTATCATGAATCTTGGAGGACTGTTTTGCAAGTATTTAGTTTGTAGCCATGTTTTAAACTGAGACCCGTTGAAAATGACCAGTCCCCACTCTTTAGTGTCCCATGCTCACCATTATTCCAATGTTTGTGTTCCTAGGACCTCGATGCAGTCTCAGTCTTCATACGGTAACAGCTCCCCACCTCTGAACAAAATGAACAGCATGAACAAGCTGCCTTCCGTGAGCCAGCTTATCAACCCTCAGCAGCGCAACGCCCTCACTCCCACCACAATTCCTGATGGCATGGGAGCCAACAGTAAGAGAATTTCACTTAGCTGTGACTAAAGGATGAACATGGCTAGTATGGGAGACTGCACTAAAATAGGGAAAGGTTTGCTCTTAAGCTAAGTGAGAGGCATAGTGAGACAGATCTGATCAACATTGAGTAGCTTGGGTTTCTGACAGTGAGCCTCTCATTTCTGAGATATATGATTCATTTACAAAACACACTGTTAGAGATGGAGAAGGCTATTCCTTCAGTTGGGATACAGATCTCTATGAAAAGAAAAAAAATTCACTTACTGCCAACTTGCATGAAGACCCACCTCCCACAATCTTAGAGATAGTCAAAAGAAAATGTATCCAACATATAGATAGTATCATATTGTTGTGATGAGCTTGAAATCTAGAGAAATAGATTGTAGTCTGGACTCTTGAAAAATTACCTGTGTAATTATGGACCAGTTACTTCTCTTCTCTAATACTTACTTTTCCATCTACAGAATCATCACTCTGAACTTTTGACACTTAATTAGTCTATGTCCCTATATTCTTGGCCTTTTCTACTTATTTACTCCATCCTATACACAGTTAGTAAAGAATTGACCCGAAAAGGTCTGCCTCTTACTTATGTACTCAGAAATTCCTCAAATAAGCTAAGTATAAGAATGAAGGGCATAGTGAGAATTAAGCCTCCAAATTATGATGATTGGCATTTGGTTTTGTTATAAATATAACTCTCATGTCCACCAGGGCTAAATCTTAGCAAAGTGGATACACAAACTTTAAAAAAAAAAAAAAAAGAGATGGTAAAAATGCAGAAGGATGTGTAGTGTCCTCAGGGATGCAAGAGATTGACCAAGCATAGGTGTTTTATCATTCCCAGCACATTAAAAAAGTACTCTCAGTCTTGTTTTTTGAAATTGTTCATTATTTTGATCAAGGCTTTCAACTTGCATTTCAGTGTTGCTTTTTCTTAAAGAAGTTAAGGGAGGCTCAGACTGTGATTCTCTTTGGTCTGGTGGCACATGTTCATATTTTAATCAGATAAAGGTATATGTATTATGGTTGCCTGCTGTGCCAACATAGACTTTAGAGTCAGACCACTTTCTCACTAGTGATAAATGCACCCTAAGGCTTAAGACCTGACCCCTTGACAGATCTCCCACTTTGACAGTAAAAAGAAGAGAAGCTACTAATTTTTTATTTTATTTTCTTTCTTGTGACGTCTTAGAGTCCTCAACTGCTTTCTTAGGATGACAAAATAATGGTAATGGTGATGATAGTTCACATTTGTATAACTTACAATTTATCTGATTTTTCTTATTCATCCTTTAAAATAATCCCTTTATGTACCGAGGAAAGTCAGAAGGAAAACAGTTGGAGATGCAGTAAGGGGTGTGCCCTCTAGTTCGTTTGTTAGTGACATTCCCTTTAGGTACACTAGTGTAGAAACAAATTGTATCTTTTATAGATAAATTGCTTTGTTCTTTTTTTTTTTGACCCAAAGGCAAAATTTGTTTCATAAATACCAGTTTATCAGTTTTAAACTTATCTTCTTTATCAGTGAATGTTTATGGTTTAGTTAAATATCAGTAAGTCTTGGTGGTAGTCCTGTGTACAACTCTGAAATGAACCATAAGAAAGAGTTATAATCTTTAATAGTATTCATCTTATTGGGCATGTGATTCTCAACAGATATTGCAGTAAGCCATTCTATTCTAAAATAAATATACCAAAGGTCACTCTTTCATTCACAAGTTTGTGCATTTGTCCACTTAAGCTAAGTTTACTGAGCACCTACTCTGTGCCAGGCACTGTGCTAAGATCTGTGGGGATCTAGACGTGTGTAAGGTCTAATCTTTATGAATGTGAGAATAGTCTAGTAAGGGAGACAGAAATATAACCCATGAAGGCAAACACAAGAAGGAATATATTAACATTAAGAAGAATGAGCAATTGGGCAGAGAATTCGAAGTAGAAAAGGGGAGGGAGGAGATTGTCCTAGGAGAAGGTACAAATTGTCCTAGGAGAAAGTACATGATTTGTTTGGTATCTGGTAACTATTCTGTTTGACTAGATACAGACATTTGAGGAGTGTAGAAATAGTTAAGACTAAAAGGGAAGGCTGGTAGTTTAGGCCTGTAGTATCATTAAACCAAGCAAGATGGACCACTGGGATCCTGGTACATGATGATGACAGTAACCCTCTCTGTTCCTCCTGCTTCTGTTCAGTTCCTATGATGGGCACCCACATGCCAATGGCTGGAGACATGAATGGACTCAGTCCCACCCAAGCCCTCCCTCCCCCACTCTCCATGCCATCCACCTCCCACTGCACCCCCCCACCTCCGTATCCCACAGATTGCAGCATTGTCAGGTGAGTCCACAGCATGTGCCCCTGGGGGCCTGTCCTACGCATCTTGGGATGGTGGAGGGTGGATACTGTGAAAGTCAGTACAGAAATTGGAAAACATGAAAGCAGCCCTGTGGTTGGAGTTCAGCCAACCATATTATCTCTGATTCTATGGAGTGGTCAGCATTGTTTAATCAAGGAAAACTACTATAGTCAGCATGGGAACAAGTGAAAATGTGTGTTTATAGGCATACTGTTTACATGCCTGTTGCCTCATCTTCACTTACTCCCTCCTTCCTCACATTTTTACACTGCCAGTCACGGCCCTCAAATTGGTGCTCAGGGCTGGGTTTCATCAAAGGGCAGTAAACTTGCTCTCTTGCTCCTTTCCTGCTCTATAGCCCTCATAACTCTCAGTGACCATAGGACCATTATTTTGAAGTTGGATGTCCATAAAAAAACTTTAACATTAGCAGAAATGACAGGGACTTTTGAGAACTGCTGGCCTCTGCTGCTCTGAATATAGGAAATGTGTGCATTCCAGGCAAGGGTAGTCGGACAGAAGAAAGAAACACACAAACCCTGAAGGATCTGTTTACCACAGAGTCAGTAGTAGATTCCCAGATTCATCCCCGGTGCACATCTTCTGCATTTGCTTCATATGCAATAGATGGTTCTTTCATTTGGCTACTGGACTGATTTGTGTTGACTCCCATGCAGTGTCAATCACAGAGATGGCAAAGCGCATGACTTTTCCCACCTAGGGTCTGTCCTTGTGATGATGGTAGCATCATCAGTCTCAGACCAGCATCCAGAACAGAGTCTGAGGAAGTTATAAATCAAAAGGCATTAATGGCTTTATAGAGTAGTGGCCTACAAAGTTTCTTAGCCACATTAATCATTCTCAGAAGCCTAAATGACAAAATAATTAAAGCAGACAGAAACGCTCTTTTTGAAGCGAAGAGCCAGGAGGCAAGAGGGTTGGGAACCTGAAAACTGGACTTTTTTCCTTTCACCCCTTGTAATGACTTCTAAGGCACTTATACAGAACCCTAGCATTCCACAGATCATCATTTGATATTAGTTGATCTGCCAGAGTCTTTATAGTTGATTTTCATTTCTATAGACCTTAAAATTCAAGTCGCCAATAACCCTCAAACCTCAAATTTAAGGCCAGCATATGTCTTATCCACTCCAAGTCTCTTATGTAGGGCATCCAAGGGCAAAATGTTGGGTTTTCCTTTATCTCGCCAATGCAGTTGGGGTGAACTCTCTTTTTCTGTTTCCTCCTTCCTCTTCCCTCCTCCCTCTGCAGTTTCTTAGCAAGGTTGGGCTGTTCATCATGTCTGGACTATTTCACGACCCAGGGGCTGACCACCATCTATCAGATTGAGCATTACTCCATGGATGTAAGTAACTGTTAGACTTTTCTCTTGAGTTTTGTATCTTCATCTCCTCCTTTTGGTGACAACTACCTTGTAGTTCAATCCCTGCTAGATATAAACTTTATTTTTCTCTTGCCCCCAATCCTGAATTTTGATGGAATCTATAACCATGTTAGAAAGATTCCCAGATCTCACCCTATACATATTAATATTAGGATCTTAGCAATCAGTCTTCCTCAGCTTGTCTGGTCAATCAACAATTGTCTATCATAACTCTACTACTTGCAAAGTGGGAAAGAGGAGGCATAATTCCCACCATCAAGAAATTTACAGTTTCTAGAGAATAGATCTTTTTGGATGTTCCCAGGGAGGATAGCAAGAAGCAGGAGGTGTTATTCTCATTTTAAAACATAGAGAAGTGATAAAATAGTCATGTGACATGACTATTGATGACAAAACCAGGAATAGAACCCAGAGATGAAAGCTTCTAGTCTATAACTTTACTGGTCTTTTTTTTTTTTTTTTTTTTTTTGCCTCTTTTTAAAGTAGGATCTTAGGGGGGATTTAACAGCTTCCCTAATTTAAAATTGTATGTTCCTTCATTCATTTTCAATACCATCATAATAGGACCCAGTTTTTTCTAATCAGTGGGAATTATCATTGGCCATGGGTTCAAGTCCCAGTCATGCTCTGTAGTAGGAATGAGAATTTGAGATTATCGCTGTGTCTCTCTGGACCTCAGTCAATCAAATTTGGGTGCTCAGTAAATCTAAATTGGCTTTGATATCCTTTGATTTGTCTTTGGAAACAAGCTGAATGAGAAAGGATTTCTTCTTGCTTTCTACTTCTTGAACTACTGCTCACATGGGAGCTAGAATTGCTCTGGTTTACGGTGATCTGATATGTCTCCCAGGCTGTTCTTCATGCTGCTCTCTTTGGGGTTCACTATACTCTCTTCTAGCTTCCAGGGAGCACTTTGAACTGGTGGAGGAAAATAGTCTCTGCCTCTGCTGCTGCTTCTGTAGCTGGGACCTTTTTTTCCCCCTCCTTGAGCACCGATGCCAGAGATGCCCCTACAGCATGAGAATGCCCCAGCCCCATGGTGACATATTTATAATATACTGCCCCTATGGCCGTCCTTCCCCACCCAACAAATCACTCCTGGCCCATGCTCCCTTATAGAATAAATTATAAGTGAAAACTATAGCGAGGTCTTCAAGAGTAAGTTCCAAAGGTATCAAATAGCTTTGCAATCACTTCTATTTACCAAAGAGTACAGAGTTGCCCTGTAATTGAGCAAGCCTCCTGTGGTGGAGTCCTATATTATGGAACAGGAAATCTGTCCCTTTTCTATAAGTTTTACTTCCCGTGTGCTCACTCGTTCCCATTGGGGAGTGTGTCAGGATGCTCCCTTGATTAGTAGGATCTGAAGATGTTCTCTGTAAGTTCAGTATCGACTATGTCTTGTACCAGTCTCTAGGCCACAACTTTCTCCTCTGTCAGTGATTAGTTAAAATCTATCCAGGAAGTCATGGAGCCTAAACTACAAGACCTTTAGACTTACTGAGAGTCCCAGAAGTATAAAGAGTCCAAGAAGAATGAAAAGCTATACTTATTGATTTGTGGATTACCTTCTTTATAATGGGTGCTTCCACTACAAGAAGAAATTGGAATAGCACTCATGGCCTGAAAATTCATACCATAGAAAAATATGACACTATACTACAAATTTCCAAACTGGGAAATGTTAGGAAGTTTTAGGTTTCTCACCTTCACCTCAGCTTCTTCCTGCTCATTTCTGGAAATAGACACCTCTTTCTCAGCTTGTCTTTTAGTACCATTCTAAGTTATTGAGCATCACTTCTTGGAGGAAGAATGTGATTAACTTTGGGGATTTTCAAGGTCATCCTGTAGTATGCAAAGATGAGTCAATATTATAACATAATAATAATACAAATGGTTAACATTCATATACTGTGTTTTACAAGTGATAAAATACTTTCATAGCCACTACTTACATTGACCTATATCCCATTTTACCAATGAAGAAACAGGCCAGGAGAAAAATGAGTGACTTCTTGAAGTTCTATAGCTAGGAAGAGACAGAATAAGAACCTCTGCCATGGTTTTCTGACTCCAAACACATTGTGCTTTCCACCATTCTACTCCATAAAAATTGTGAGCTATCCTGGAAACAAGCTAAGGAAGAGTTAATGCAGATACATGTAAGCAATTTCACTGCAGTTCAGATTTATCCTATTTGTAATATTTTCTACCCCATCATAGAACATAAGCACAATAGCAGTCTACATTTTGATACTTTGATGTATTCAAACACCAAGACATCTTCTGGCCAATTTTTGGCTCAGAAGATGTCCTGAGTCCCCAATTTATTCACTTAGCTGTGTAACATTAGACTTGTCAACCTCTCTAGCCTTCAGTTTTCCTATCTATAAAACAGGTATAATGAAATTTACTACTAATCTGAGGATTAACTGATATTATGAATATAAAATAATTAGTTCAGTGCCTGGCACATAGAAAGTGCTCAGTCCCTGTTAGTATTCTTTCCTTTTCATCTCCTCACCCAAGTGGTAGTGACATACCATTAATACTTTTCTTATAGTGACTCAATCCAGGTAGATTTAAGCATTGAAAGGCACCCCATGTTTCTCATTGATTTTTGTGCCCTGTCGTCTATTATCCCCGTTTTACCAATGAATCTGAGGCCAGTAGAGCCTAAGTGAAGTGGTGTCTATAAATACAGATGGCACCTCAAAGCTTTGCCTTTGTACTAACTAATGTAGTGCTGATGACTACCAGAGAGCTAATTTTATTTTCTAATTTATAGATCATTAAATTCAGATCAGATAAAGAGAGCATGAGGGAATGACAAAATGCTGTGGACTAAATGTCAGTTTGTCTCCTTGTTTTAATTCTCCCTGATTCTCTTTCCTTTTACACAGGATTTGGCAAGTCTAAAAATTCCTGAGCAATTCCGCCATGCAATCTGGAAGGGCATCCTGGACCACCGGCAGCTGCATGATTTCTCCTCACCTCCTCATCTTCTGCGGACCCCAAGTGGTGCCTCTACGGTCAGTGTGGGCTCCAGTGAGACCCGGGGTGAGCGTGTTATTGATGCTGTGCGATTCACCCTCCGCCAGACCATTTCATTTCCACCCCGAGATGAGTGGAACGACTTCAACTTTGACATGGATGCTCGCCGCAACAAGCAACAGCGCATCAAAGAGGAAGGGGAGTGAGCCCCCGTCATGTGGGATCTTTCTGTCCTCTTCCCACCTGCCCACTTCCTTGCAAAGCACTCCTGCTTGATCTTCAAAGAATTTTCCCCCTAGCTCCTCCCCTTCCTCTTCTCAATCTGATATCTTAGTGGAAGGGGAAGTAAGAGGCCACCTCTTACTTAACATCTGACTTGGTGTATGATTCTGATTCTGGCTTTAAGCCTTCAAAACTATAGCTTTCAGGACTGAAGCTGCCATGGTTAGGTAGAAGTGAGCAAAAAAGAGGTGGGTGTCTCCTTAAGCTGCCTAGATTTCTCATTGACTTTTATAAAGCATTTTCATCCTTATAGTCTAAGACTATATATATAAATATATATAATATACAGTATATATTTTTGGGTGGGGGGCATTGAGTATTGTTAAAATGTAATTTAAAGGAAAGAAATTGAGTTGCACTTAACGACTTTTTTTTTTATCTTGTTTTGGATGGCTTGTTTTTTATACACCTTCTCTCAAGGGGTATTATGTATGGTGATAGGTATTTAGAGCTTAATGATACCTGTGACAATGTTATATAGGTCCTTTCAGTTCTTTGGATGGTAAACACATGCCACATCAAACCTTTGAATAGATTGTTTTATTTACCATTGCTTATTATGTGGGTGAGACTGTATATATGTACACTTTTCTCAATGTTGGTGTATTTTATATTACTGACATCCCTTTTAGTGATGGTGGTTCACTTTGGGGTTATTTAATCCAAAAATAAGAAAAAGTTCATGTTCACATTATTAGTCACTAAAGGAAAGGACACGCCCTATCTTGTTTTTGGTTGGGAATGAGAAATGTAGGTCAAGGCTAAAATTCTTAAAAGGTCGACAGAAGCCATTTCAAAAACACCTAGTGTCATGTACCTGGGCTTAACAGTAATGCCCTTAAATTTAATACCAGAAACCTTATCTTATAGTATTTATGGAAAAAACATCTGCTGCCATTACAGAGGTCTTAAAATTAAATTTCACTACTAGATTGACCATCTCAAATACACATTTGCTACTGTTGTAAGAATTCAGGTTGATTTGATTGCCATCTATTTAGTTCTTATAGTGAAGCACTGTCTAAAAGAAGAATCAGGAAAATGTGGAATCATTAAGAAATATTGAGTGAGATATCTCAGTGAACCATGAATTGAAGTTCTTGAAAAATCTTTTGAAACAGATGATATTATTTGGCAAATGTTTCTTATAAAGACTTTACCATTCTATATAACTACATGCAGAGGCGTGTTTACCTTTCTCTCTTCAAGGTTTACAATAAGAATGGTGATTTGAAAAGGAGAAAATTAGGAGATTAGATTTCCTGTGGCATAAATTGCATCACTGTATCATTTGTTCTTTCTTTTTTTAACCAATAAGAGTTTCAGTTGGAAAGTAACTGTGAGAACCCAATTTCCCGTCCATCTCTCTTAGAGACTGTGCATAGACATTAAAAATGTCCCCCACAGAGCGAGGGATAAGTCTTTCATGGAAGCTATTGCTTAAACCATGTAAACAAAGAATTGTCTCCAAACTTTTGGAAAACATGTAAATGACATTATTTTTTCTTAGATATTTCAGAAACATACTTGTAACACATACTTTTTTCAAAATATAAAAAAAAAATTGTGTATACATGCTAATGAGCTCTAAAATCTTCCTATGCATACTGGGAATGGGCTGTCATTGCACATAAGCTTCCATTTTTATTTTAAAGTGCAAAAGGGCTAATGTTGCTCTAAAATGTAATGTATAAGTTTCACCTGAAAATTGTATATATATATTTTGTGTGTGAAATTGCATACTTTGTATTTTGATTTTTTTTTCTTGGGATAGTGGGTTTTCCAGAACCACATTTGAAACCTTTTTTTAAAAAAAATTGTTTTTTATATTTTCATAGAAATATCATTTAGTAGAAGTACAATGTCAAATAAGAAATATTGCTGGAATTTTAAGACGGGGGAAGGGAAAGTTGTGTTTTTTAAAAAAATTTTGTATGTTAAAGAGAGTGAGTCCTTGATTTCAAAGTTTTGTTGTGCTTAAATGGTAATAAGCACTGTTAATTTCTGGAATAAAAATGCAGCTTTGCAAACCCATTAAGGGGAAGAATGAAAGCTGTACCTTGGTCATATTAGGAGGACAAATGGTTTCCTCTACTGTCCTTAGTGTTTGAATAAACCTAGGACTTCTGAGCTATTTCAGCACTATTTAGGCAGCACTAGGGACTCGGAAATTCTTGTACTGTATTTCATGGATTTGGCACTAGTCAAAGTGAGGTGTAGTTACTGGCCTTACAACCTCATGGCAACTTCCCCTCCTTGAGTGCATGAATAGCCAGGAAAAGGGGTAAAAGAATATTTAAGCACAAACAACTGGGTGTGGGCTTCATGGAGTTCTTGTGGCCTCAACTCCATGCGGCTAGCTGAAGAATCAAAAGGTTTTTGTTTGGAGTTGGTTATAAACAAATGGAGAGTGGAATTTGCTTCATTAAATCCATTTACCTTTTGTTTTCTTAATAGTCCCCTAAAATACAGTATGTGGGATATTGAATGTTAAAGGGATATTTTTTTATTATTTTTATAATTGTACAAAAATTAAGCAAATGTCAGAAGTTTTATACTCTATTAATGTTTTCAAAAGATTCTTTCTTTATAGATGTAATACTTTTTTAAGCTTTAGTTGCTTGTCTTTTGGTATTTTCTGTTGTAGGCTTTTGGTGAGCCACAGCCAAATCTCCAAGCCTCCTATGTTTGCCAGGACATGCAATAAAATTTTAAAAATAAATAAAAATTCATTAAGAAATTGTATTGATGTGTGTGTCTGTCTGTGTGTATGTGTGTCTGTTGCCTGCTTATCCTTCCTTCCATTCTTTGGCTTTATTTTTGTTATTGAGAAAGAAAGAGAAACATTAGAGAAGTTCAACTATTGATGTTTCTCATCTAAGAACAAGTAATAACTTTCTTCTTTTAGGCAATCTATGAAATAGGAAGGACCAGAATGATATCTTTATTTGGTACATGAGACATCACAGATTCAATACTTTATTTGAGGTCAGAAGGAGTTGGCTTCAGAAGAGGGGCTAGACTGAAGATATTCCTAATATCTAGCATAGGGACCTTCCGGGAATACTCAGAAATGATCTCCTCAGCACCATATGAATGGACTGGAGATCATCCGGTTGTTATGTGAGAACACTTTGCAGATGGTGAGCTCTAATTGGGCCATGTTCCCTTGTAAACTCGGTATTAAATATCAACTGTCAATTATTTACATTGATCCAGCCAATAAAATACTAAGCGGTTTAACCATTTTTATTATAATAATGGAGAACTTTATTTTTTATGGGATATCATTTGATGACATGAATGCAGTATAATACCTTTGACTTATAAATTACTTTACAGAATGATACACAGTATACAGCAAAGATATCGATTTACTTTTTCTATGTATAGATGTAATTACATTTAAAGATATACATTCACATAGGCAAGGCAGGTGTACCAAAAGACTCAATTCTTTTTTTTTTTTTTTTTTTGAGTTGGAATCTCACTCCATCGCCCTGGCTAGAGTGCAGTGGCACACTGATCACCAGCCCAGCATCGACCTGCTGGGCTCTGGTGATCCTTCCACCTCAGCCTTCCAAGAAGCTGGAACTACAGGCGCACACTACTACACCTGGATAATTCTTTTGATTTATTGTAGAGACGAGATCTCGCCAAGTTGCCCAGGCTTGTCTCGAACCCGTGGGCTCGGACAATCCACTCACCTTGGCCTTCCAAAGTGCTGGGATTATAGGCTGAGCCACTGAACCCAACCAAAGACTCAATTTTTATTCCTTGAAATCTAGGTGATAGATTCCCCAGAAATGAAATCGTTGGTACCATAGTGCAAGTATGAAGAATAGAAAGCTATAGAAATGATTAATCTTTGATATATCATCACACTTTTTTGGACTCAGTTATAGCTTTTATTTCTTTTTTGAGCAGTTATAGCCATTTGTATAGATTGGTATTTTATAACTTTGTCTTAGAAGTCTTCTGAGGTACAAGGGGAAAAAACTTTTTAAAAAAGAATACAAGCCAGGCTCGGTGGCTCCACCTGTAATCTCAGCTCTTTGGGAGGTTGAGGTGAGTGGATTGCCTGAGCCCACGAGTTCGAGACCTGCCTGGGGAACTTGGAGAGACCTCATCTCTACAATAGATCAAAAATTACCCAGGTGTGGTATCGCATGCCTGTAGTTCCAGCTACTTGGAAGGCTGAGGCAGAAGGATCGCTGGAGCCCAGCAGATCGAGGCTGCAGTGGCCGGGAGTTGTCACTGCACTCCAGTCTGAGTGACAGAGTGAGACTCCAACTCAAAAAAAATAAATAAATACATTTTCTTGCAATTATTATTGAGTCTATTATATAACTTTACAAATCTAAAATACATTATGGAAAGGAGGTGATTTGTTCTTTCATCTCTTGAGACTTTTTTTTTTAACACTTTAGGAGTTATTTTATCCTTATTTATCAAGCAATTTTAATGAACAAAAATAGTGACTTTTTTTAACAGGAAGAAAGGTGAGATTGCCCAAAATTGTCTTGTGAGATGTGGTAGGCACTAGCTACATGTAATTATTTAGCTCTAATCTGGGACAAGTCGAAACAGATGTACGTAAACACAGAATACACATTAGATTTCAAGACTTAGAATCAAAAGATGATGTAGCTCACTGATAATTTTTATGTTGATTACATACTGAAAAGATAATACTTTGAATTAACTAAAATCTAGTATTAAAATTAATTTTACCTGTTCCTTTTGATTTTATGTGCCTGTTAGAAAACTTAAGATTATATGAGTAGCTTTAATTGTAGTTATATTGGACAATTGGCTAGAAAGATGTTGAAATAAGAAGCCTATAAGGATGATAAAATGAATTTACTACTATGTAATTATACCTTTTTTTTTTTTTACTGTGTTGCCCTTTAATATTTCATCATCTTTCAAGAAGGTATAGAAAAGTATAGGAGGCAATATTTTTGGAGTTAAGATTTTTTTTTTCTTTTCATAATGGTAAAAAAGTTAAAATTGACAAAGGAAGATATTTCCAAATTGTTAAATCAGAATATAAATATAAAATGACAATAGCAGTCTGGACTCTGATGATGGTGAAATTGATTGTGTAAGTTAAATCACAAACTGAGTCTCCATGTACTTATATTGCAGATGAATTTCTCAAACACAGAGTTCGATTACCAAGAAACATAGTTTTAAAGGTAAAAAGGATACATGCTTACTCTCATCCAAATAGTTATTCAATAGGAAGATCATTTCACCATGTCATGTTTTGCAGCAATAACCTGACCATCTAATTTTTAAAAGGATGTATGATAGTATAATTTCAGCTCTAATGATTCTTATGCACCAAAATTTACCGATATGCATCACAAGTAGACAAATGCTGAGGGCTGATGTGTAGCAAAGAGAAATGGAAGAAAATAGATGACAGAAATTTAACTCATTGGATTGATCATTCTAATTGGTGTTTATAAATCTAAAACATATTTTGCAAATTTGGTCAAAGAACATAGTCATCCTCTCTTCAACAAAATCATAAGCAATCAGGTGCTCTAAAAATATTTCAAGTGTTTCATTTTGATGATACAAATGCAAGATGGATAATCAAAAGTCATGATAAGCTAGAACCTATCAGAAATGTATTTAAAGTTAATATGTACAAGATGGATATGTCCCAGATTACATGATAGTTCATGAACAGTTCATTACATTCAGAGTATATTTTTCTTTTTGTGTGTATGTACCACTATAATTATAAAAATAACAAAATTTTAGGTTTATTTTGCTTGCATTCATTTTAAAATCTCTTATAAAGTTATTTTTCACTATCCCTTTATTCTTCTTTACTCATAAAATTACAAAAATATAAGAAATAAAGATATAAAGACCTACCTAGACCCAGCAGATGAGTGGTGATTTTTTTTCTGTTATTCTTAGAGTTATTAGAATAACTTAACTAATATTGGTAGTTATAGA